GTATAATATTTTTTACTTGATATTTGATCAAACATTTTTCTATAAATATCATAATTTTTTTCAAATATTTCATGATATATTAGTGTTGTTCAAGTAGACTTTTCTTAACTTTATAAAAATTAATCAAAATAAGTGATTCATAGATAATTATACATTTTTTTCATATTAATATATCATATTTTATTTTTATTATTACTAATTCTAGTAATTAATAAGAACGATACAGAGAAGATTAGCATGCGCAATGGTGGTAACACGCAAAAAAAAATAGAATAATAAATGTTATGATTTAAACTATTTATTATTGTAAATTTTATCCAAATTTTACATGTGAATAATGGAAATTGAAAAATTTCACGAAATACGGTGGATTAAAGTGCTAATGTTATGAAGTATAAAAATATTTATGATATTTAGTACACATTTTTCTTTAATTTATGATTTTACATGATAGATCTGGAAACTCCTTGAACACCCGTGTTTCTATTTAATTTTCAAACTAGAAAATATTTTCCCATTTAGAAATATTTTGCAATATTTTTGCCCTTTAAAAAAAATAAAATAAAACGGGCATACAAAGTGATTCTCTTATCATAAACCCCTTAATTAATTGAAAAATAATATTCATAATTTTTTTATTTGTTTCTTTTAGTTCAATGTTACACTCAATTTTTTCAATCATAAAAGTTTTTTTATGATCATCTTCTATAGGGGTGTCAACATTAATTTCCAAACGGTAATACCCCTAATTAACAAACTCATTTATTAAACAATGATCTAATTATGAAAATGACTGGTTGATAACAACTTTTCAATCAACATTTTGAAAGTTATCGACATATTTACATCTATGTGAGAAGAATAGTACGGCGTATAATGTTTAGCTATAATAATAGCATCACCCACTATTCACCTCCAACCGTTACTTTAAATTGTTAATAATTGCAGAAATACTCATTCAAAAGGTCAGATTTTTAATAAATATATAACTAAGGAAAGGGAATTACTTAAACTATTCATAAAGAAAGTTGTTATTATTTTTAAAATAGTTATGGTAGTTTTACAATTTATGATATTTTGACGTATTGTTGAAAGAAATGGGTTCGGTGAGAGATGACAAATAAAAATAAACATATCATAGTAAAATTAATACCTTCACAGCTTTGCATCGAAGCTAAAATTGTTGTATATTATCATTTTATAATATATTTCTAAGTCAGGTCGGTCCAGAATTTTGTTTTACCGATTAGTATGATTTGGAAGTTATTTTACCGATTAATATTTTCCTCAGAAATGTTAGTCTTTAAAATACTGTTTTCGGAGATAATCCTTTTTGTTCTATCATTTTTTGATCTTCTAAATATACTTGTATTTTTAAGTATTTTTTGAAAATTAAAAAAATATTTAGTATGTTTAATACTGAAGAATTTATCATTGCTGTCAAAAATGAAGAGACTATTTGGAATTTAACTAAGTTTCTTAATTTCCCTTTATATTTACTTTGAATACAGTGGTGTCACGAAGGGCTCATATACATTGATCAGATCAAAAATAAAAATAATTAAATTGTTAAATCGCAGCCACAGCACAGCACCTTCTCAGTAATTTTCCAGCCGTCCTATTTTCGTGTAATGCTGTAGCATAGTGAGTCTACCCGTCCCTGATAATCGCCTATGTAGTCAATATATACTCAGCATAAATTATAAATTTTGAATTATTTATTTAATTTCTCAACCCTATTCAGCAATTTTCCAATTCTCTTCTTATACTTGTACAAATTCAAACTATTGTTTATCAAAGATTAATTTAGCTCTTTTCAGTCATCAGCCTTATAAATAATCCTATATCGCACACTCCTAATTTTAGCTCTATATAGAAAACCAAATTCTTATATGAAATCTCCATCCTGAGTATCAGAATCTTGCTATCCTTCACTTAATTATAGTCATAGTCCTTATCCTGAACAACATAATATGTTGTTAAATATTATTTAAACTTCATTTACTTTGACCCAATCTTATTTACAAAACAACTTCCCTGTAACTCTTACGACCCCAGCAGATTTATCCAACTCCCAGAGAGCAAAAATTGGTCCACAATAATAAATTTTCATCTTTCCCAATTTCCTATATTAATCCACGGTATACAAAAAATAATTATTCTCATGCTGAAGCACATAATCTAAATGATAATTAATTTTAAATTATTTATTTCAAAAGTATTTTGTAATTGGACGTTGTTTTTTTTTAAATCCAAAGAATTCCTTTAATTTTTTTTGTTACTAATGTTTATTCTGTATAAAACGTACATAAGTATTGTACAAAAAAAAAATTGTTTTATTTTATTTTTAATTGTTTTTACAAACATGTGTACGTGACGCCAAGAAGTTTTATTAGTATATATATTTATTTATGTACACATATGTTTTTTGTTATTTAATACCATCATTATTTGGTAAATTGAAAAATAATAAGAAATCTTCATTTTAATCATTATAATTAAATATATCATCAAAATTATTTAGTCGAGAAAAAATATGTGACATAGGATAACTCTTATTAGTAAAATTATAAACAGATGAACCAATATATAATACTTGAGAAAAGGACAGAATTATACAAATGTATTCTGAATTTTCTGAATTAAAATTTGCAAAATTATTTTTACAAACTTTAAACTGGTAAATGATTTAGCTCAGTATAACTGTTCTTCGGGTGGAATAGAGATAACTTTAGAACATCTTACTTCTTCAATTTATCGCCTACGAGTTGTAGTTACACATTAAAAAATAGTATCTAATATTTTTTGTTCTTGTAAAAATGTTCAATCGTTTATTAAATTATAAATAATTTATTAATACAGTATTCTCTTTTTCAATTTGTTAATTTTGTATTATACTTTTATATTATTATAAATATAATACTAATAATATATAAAATAATTCTCAATAAGTGACAACATATTATTAAGTCGAATTTTACTACTAATTCCGAAATATTTTTATGTTTTTCTATAAATAATTCAATTTTGAATTGATCGTATTTCAAAATTGTTAAAAAAAAACCAATTTTTCAAGTTTTACTGTTTTTATAAAATTTTTATTATGATACTTATCAGCTTATCGAAAGACATTTTAGATATGCGAACATATTTAAAAAAAACTCTTTGGGTTAATACCATGATGATAAAAATGTTATTTTAAATTTATAAAAAATTTGGCCTTTTTGAATTTAAGGGCTATCCCACCAACGCTTATATCTTTTAGCTTTTGATTTTATCCGAGCTTGGTGGTTTTTATATCAAGTGTTTACAACACAAACCAACTCTACATCGTCCAAATTTAAGTCCTTTTTTTAAATCATACACTAAAAAAATAACAAATAGGATCAAGAAATCAAATGAAAAGAAGTTGGAAACGTGGTCTACAATGTTTCACTATTTTTTTAAAATTTTTTCGTTAAAAAGCGCGTCTAAAACGCGCTTTTTAAAAACGCTCGTTCAAAAACCCGTAATGTAAAACCAACTTAACAACTCAAAAAAAAATAAAAAAATTGGTTAAACACACATAGCTAACAAAGCACTATGGTGGTGGTTAATAGAAAAGAGAGAAAAAACGTTTTTTTCGACACACTAGGATGAGACGCACTGACGGCAATGACGATTTTAAAAAGGTTATCAGCCTAACAATTTATTGAATATAATAAACCACATAATTATAATTACTATTACAATCATACAAATATGGACAGTGGTGGCCAGTGTATGTGTCATATAGAGAACGATTATTAACTTGATAAAGAATATTGTGTGTTTAGCGTTCACCGTGACAGCAACAGTGCAATTTTCTGATTACACGGCCCGATATAACGTATACACGATCATTAGCAAAGATTACATTAAATTTATACCATAAGAAATTTTAATAGACATATAGATTCACATTTTGTCACATTACAGAATACTTGTGTGGTGCAAACATTTAATAAACGGTTCTTAATCAACTATAATCTTGTATTCAAATCTAGGGATCGCATCAAAGTAGATTAATTCAAATTGCTAGATAATAATAAAATTGTTTAAAAATAAATTTATAAAAATTAAAGTTACAATTATCATATATATTTAGTTATAAAGTTTAACTATCCAGAGTTTGACGATCAATTGCAAGAGACAATGTAACAAGGGATATGAGGTACATAATCATTCCTGTATACTTTCTTCTACACTAGATTTATACTTATTTATATTCATAGAACAATAAAAATGTAGAATATTGAACAAATTATTAAAAATATTTTATGTGTCACTTAAATAACAATGATTTTAAATTTAAAGTTAATGGAGATTTTGGACCTCGATGTATTTTATTAACTTCTCTCCCAAAAAAAAAAAATAGAAAATGATTAAATTTATTATATATTAAAATTTAAGGATTAAGGTAAAATATATCATTAGGCCCGTAAAATTTGTATATTTCTGTTCATATTATGCGTAATTACTAAAGATTTTGGAAGCAAAAAAAATAAAATGGTAAGTTCCAAAAGTGCCCTTTATATTGAATAATTTTTCTCATATTATATAAGTTTTTAAATTGTATATTAGTGTTCGACAAGATCAATCTGAGGATAAAAACTTGACTTAGAATTAAAAGGGTAAAACACAAAAATTATTATCCAATTATTTTAGAATATAATTTTTATAAAATTGGCAAGTTTTAAAATAACAGACATTATTTAAAATAATATTACACTTATCCTATTTCTTAATGTACCGATAGATTCATAGTTATTATAAATTTTTCAATATTATCGTATTAATATTATTATAAGCTTAGTATAAATATTTTCTATAAATTAATTTTGTTTACTTACCTGCACCTACGTACACATTCGACATATTTTACTAGTTCTTATATTTTAGTAAATAAAAAAAATAAATTACTTATATAAGCACTAAAACTTATTTTATACAATTAATTTCTTTTTTTGTATTTAGTTTAAGAAAATAGTTTGATGAGTTTTCTAAATTAAAATGGCATTAATATTAAACATTCAAATGTATTTCTGTATATTTTTCATTATTTTCCATGCTGAAGGAAAATATAATACAAAAAAAAACGTTATTATAATGAAGTATTTTCTACGTTATCCCGGATGGAAAAATATTAATGATGTGGAATATATCAAGTACTGGAACCATGAGTATAAATTCGAAGATGTTTTTGATAAACCTATAACATCAGATAATTGCGATAATTTCATACGTTACGCGACGATATTCCTTGGATGTTCTTATGCTAATGATTTAACTATAATGTTCTTTTCATTGATAAATTTTCAAAAACATTGTACTATGTTATTAAATTCGGGTAACTCCCTTGATAGTGCATATAATTGTACAGTCGAACTTTTAGCAAAAACAATTGATATTGTCCCATTGGCAAAACTAATGAAAAGCGCTTTAGATTCTATTGAAAATTATCATAATTTTCCCTGGACCAACCAAAAACAGTTCCGTTATATTTTATGCGAGGTTCTGACATATTTGCAAAAAACTGGACCTTTAATTGAATTAGTTCCTTTAATAATCAATTCAGATGCGATTGATGCTGCATTATTGATTATTAAACGATTTTTGCTCGTGAGACGTGAAGAACTAGAAAGAGATAAGATACATTGTCAACTAAAATCCACAGATTTGATTTCAATGTGGCATTTATGGAATAATGAATTTGACACATTAAAAACTCAAGGAAAATATCAAGAATTTTTCATGTTTCTTAATGATAAAATAAGCAGTTTAGTCCAAACGACATACCAGAAAAAGTATGTTGACCTTGGATTTATATTTGATTCGAACACAAATCGGACATTTTTACCTATTCCAACTGTCAATTTAGCGCAAAGTAAAATTGTTTAAGTAATAATAAACTTATTTATAATTTAATTTTTTTCAATAAATTTAGATCACAAAAATCAATCAATAAACTTGGTAAAACAAACCAATGATGTAGATGTAATGGAAGTGATTAAACAACAAGGTAAAGTATTCAATAAAGTAATCAAATCTTATAAAAACTTTTTAGCTATATTTTTGTTAGCTATACAGCTAACAAACTTGTTAATATTTTTTGATATCACAAAATATTCTTCTATTAATTTAATATAAAAAAACAATGATATAGATACGCAGGAAAGAATTAGAGTAGAATATAATATTTCTTAATATACCACAGGGCTTTAGTTCAATTATGATAATGTATTACAATAAGAAGGGTCAATCTGTATCAAATCATACAGTTTGGTCGCGCAGCTATTTTTATTTTTTTTGAAATTTCATACATGAGATTTCTAGTAACTAAAAAAAAAAATTTCCAAAAAAAATGTTTAAGTAAAAATAGATTTATAACCTCTCAAAATTTTTAAATTGCAAAATGCCAGTATTTCATAAAAATGTCACTGAAACCTATGTATTTATACTTAAGACTTGAAAATTTCATCACTTTTTCATTATCAGGTCTTTAAACATTTTCAACAATTAACAATAGGATTTTTTAGTTTATTTTTTAAGTAATTATGAGAAAGGTTTTTTTCAAAAAAATAACATTTTCTAAATTAAAATTAACAATGAAATACAATTATTTTTAATGACAATTTTTTACATCAAACTTTTTTTAGTAATACAAATATAAAAAAGTTCAAATTTCTAAAATAACGATTTTCAGGCAACTTTAACTTTAAATAATTAAATTGGTGTAAATATATAGTTCATTATTGTAAAATGTTTTGTCACAATGTAATCCGAAGTGATCTACTTTACCCAATCATTTTAATTCTCAATATTTTATATAAATTTTTGATTGTGATATGTCTATAGAATGAAAACTAGGTAATTCACTTGATAACTGAATAATAATTTATTTTATCACGAATCAATGCTAGTTGTCAAATAAATTTGTTTGTCATCAAACTAATTTTTTTGAATATTTACATGAGTTATTTTTGTAAAAAGGTTATATCCGTGCAATTAAATGTATTGGAATTTTATCTAAAATAACTAATTGTTTATGTATAAAGCTTATTAGACAATTACAGGGATAGAACAAAACTTAAAACAAGAAAAAATGTAGTTTTGGGGACTTTTTTTATTTTATTTGGTTTTTTCTTGGATACTTTAAATATATTTAAATTATAATGACCTTAAATATTTTTAAACTATTCATAATATTAGTTATTTATAAATAAGTAACATTATGAATTAGTTTAAAATAAAATATTTGTAGTATTTATAAGAAAATACCAAAAATTATAGCATAGAATTTTTTTCTTGTTACTCTAATGTGTTCTAACATAAATTTTATACAAAAAAATGTTAAATTTAATTTTTTTAAAAATTCACTATGGAATAAATAAGAGTAATATAAAATTTATTATTATTATTATTATTAGTGTTACGTATCCGCGACTTTTTAGTAATTTTTTGTGGCTTTTGAGTTTAATATTTTTTAGTTTTCAAATTAATAATATTTTTAGTTTTAATTTTACGTTAATATATGTCCAATAGAAATAAGGATTACAGTAGAAGATAATATTTCTTAATATAATAGAATACATTAACTTAATTATAATATAGTAATACAATAGAAGCAATATACTTATTTATGTATTATTATTATACTTAGATTTTTCACAAAATCCATCTATAAATTTGGTAAAACAAAACAATGAAGTAGATGTGGTGGAAGAGATGCTACAAGAATGTAATTCTATTGTTATACACGTTACACATTGACTTCATTTTAAATAAGTTTTAATAGCTATATAACAACGTTCATTTTTTTAGATATGGCCCAATACTCTTCAATAGATTTGATACAAAACAACAATGAAGTAAATTATCTGGATGAGATGCTGCAAGAATGTAAAGAATTTATTATACATTTTTTTTTAATTAAACTAACAACTACTTTAATATTTTTAGATATCGCAAAATACTCTTCAATAAATTCAAATAGCATAACAATGACATAGATGTTATGAATGGGATTAAACGAGAAGATAATTTTTTACAGCACTCTTCAGTGTTTCAATTTATTTATAATACAGAATTACGAATAAGAAGCGATATACTTAATGATATTATTTTATTCATTACTTTTCTGCACTTGAAAATATATTTTTTGGCAATGAATAAAATAATATCAACTCTATTGTACAAATGTTTGAAATGTTTACGTCTAATTTATTGTCTATATAACATTTACAAAAGTCGAATTAATTTTTAATTGTTACCTGTATATTTTCATTATAAAATGATTTAATTGTAAATACTATTTGTAGACAAAAATATAATGATAATATATAATTACTAGTAATTGAAATAAATTTCGTGTTCCTTCTTGATTTTTCACATTTTTAAAGATATTATAAAAAATAAATAAATATAGTCTATTTACAAAAGTAGTTTATAAGTATGTTAAGTCGCTATTTAGGAGTTGAGCCTAAATGCCCGTCAATAGTATTCTAAGGGACCAATAGGGGATAGCTGGCTAGGATATATCTACCTTAGGTACTGAGTTTTTCTATTTAATTTATATTCCCTTAGAGGAACTACCAAGGGTCGCACTACAATATATATATATATATAACACTCTTGGTTAACAACGATATAAATATTTATTAAGTGATTGAAATATTAAATAGATAATACTATAATACATTTTAATAATATTATAATTGTAAAAACTATTAATAGTTCGAACTGGATAGAAATATGAATAAAACATCGTATATTTTATGTGGTTGTAAAATTCCTATCTATTTGTAAAAATATGTATATTTTTTTTCTTATCCAAATACGTATTAGTATTATTTATGTATTTGAAAATACGTATACATTTAACCAATGTGGTTGAATTAAATTAATAACAAAATCTATTGTATTTATGTTAATAATACTAAAGTATTTTATTTATGTTAATAATAATAATAAGGATAAGACACTCGTTTACTCAGTAACTATTGAAAATTTTAAATTTTTGGTAAGAAAAATATTATTTGATTCANTACAGGGTGATTCATTAAGGATAAGACACTCGTTTACTCAGTAACTATTGAAAATTTTAAATTTTTGGTAAAGAAAATATTGTTTGATCCAAAAATCACTACAATAATATGTAGTAAAAACATGATATTTTTCATCCCTTCAAGGTTAAAAAACATTAACTTGAGTTTTTTTAAATGAGAACACATATTTTGAATTTAATAAAAATTTTTAATTTTTAATTTAATAGCAAATGACATTTGAATTTTTAATATAACTTTATTAGTTTATTAGATATAAACACTTAAAGTTTCAAATTTTTGAGTTAATATACATGTATAATACACATGGGTTTACAAATACAGGTAGCTAATTGGTTTTTTATGACATTGCTGTCACAGTCACGGATTGTTCATTATCAATTATGACTATCAAGAGATACACTTTCTGTATTATCAGTTAGTGTATTTATAAACTCACAACAATGTGCCTTACTACCATTGATAATAACAATGCTGTGTACCTGGTAATATCAATGTCATAAAAAACCAATTAACTACCTGTATTTGTAAACCCTTGTGTATTATACATGTATATTAACTCAAAAATTTGAAACTTTAAGTGTTCATATCTAATAAACTAATAAAGTTATATTAAAAATTCAAATGTCATTTGCTATTAAATTAAAAATTAAAAATTTTTATTAAATTCAAAATATGTGTTCTCATTTAAAAAAACTCAAGTTAATGTTTTTTAACCTTGAAGGGATGAAAAATATCATGTTTTTACTACATATTATTGTAGTGATTTTTGGATCAAACAATATTTTCTTTACCAAAAATTTAAAATTTTCAATAGTTACTGAGTAAACGAGTGTCTTATCCTTAATGAATCACCCTGTATATTTTGAAAGTAAATAAATAAATTATTTGTTTAATTTATCTGTTTTCAATATAAACAGAACAGGATTAAGAAGTTTTAAGACCCTGAGGTCCATCGAAAAATGTTTTCCTCCCTCTGCTAGGATTATTGTTCGATTATTTTTTTATGGGTTGTATTTTATATATTTAATGAAACAAAAATATATAACAAGATATCCTAACCTAAAAATGTATAACCTTTTTTAAATATTCAATAGTTAATGCTCAAAATATACCATTAGGTTGAATAAAAAACAGTCAAATACTCTATGTGCCCAAAAGGTTCATCAGAGGTTGGGTCAGTCGGTTCCTTTGAAACTATAGAATAGTCAAAACAAATTATAATGCAAATTATTGATTTATACCACGAAAGAAACGTACTGTAAATATAACATCAGTTGATAAAAAAATTAAATGAAAAAAAAAAGAAATACTGCATTGGTCAATTTTATTGTGAAGTGAAGAAAAATAAATCTGTTGTTGGTACTGATGAAATTTATAACACAAAATGTTTCGCTATTAGCAGTTTAAAAACCAACCATGTGTAACAACTAAAGCTGGTGTAAATATTCATCGATCCCTGTCAATCACTAAAACTAGAGTCAGTTAATTTTTTTCAATCTATTTATTAATTTCACAAATAACATTTATAATTTCCTACACAAAAATCAGTAATTAAATAATAAATAATTATTCAAAAAGTATTAATATAATAGTAATATTTTATAGTTAATTTTAGTCAAATATTTTAACTATTTATTCAATTATTTTAAATATTTTAGAAAAGCCGGTATTACAATTGTGAGCTATCAAATTTTTTTTAGTAGTGATTTCAGAATGAAACTCTGCCTTCAACGGTTTGAAAAAATCATAATACAAACAGACAAATTGAAGAAATAGTTAAAAATATTCAACAAATAAACTTGGATAAAAATGATTCGACGGCTATTAACAAATGTACCCCGCCAAGTCAAACAACTTTCAACGTTAGACACCTAATTAAAAAAAAAAACAAGCACGGGGGGGTCGCGGCACAGTGGTGACGTAGCATAGTTGGATCAAGTATAATGATATCTGACAGTGATTAAAATCACTATCAAAAAAAAAAAATGCTTCGATGCAAATCTTTAGATAGTGTTTAATTTTAAAAAATTGGTGGATTATTCCAAATGCTACATGATCTGCTAGTTCCTTATTAATATCTTGATTAAGATAAAGTATGTCGAATGAAAAAGGATTATTAAAAAATATTATTTCTCATAAAAAAATTGTGTTGATCCATACACTTTTCAATAAGTTAGAGCATTAAAGGTAAAAATGTAAAAAATAAAATCGAGAATTTCCACACAATAATAGCATTTGGTAGCCATTTTCACCACAAAGACAAGTCCAGATGTCCAATTTTTTTTTTCCATAATAAAGTACATTACAATAGCTTTAATTTAAGATATATATAAAAGTATCAGACTTTCCGGAACATTTCCAAAAATCAAATTGAAAAAGTAAATTGTTTGTGAAAAAGTTGTCATTTTGAATGCCCCCTGTAGGCAGGTAAAGAGTCATATTTATAAAAAATATATACCAAATGATAGTTAAAGATATCATGCATCTATAAAAAAAAGAACTATATTGATCCATACATCTTTCAAAAAGTTATAGCATTATAAATTTAAAAAAATAAAAAAGAATTTTTTTACAAAAATCATATTTTTTTTATTAACTTTGATGTCTGTTTTCACAATGAAGAATAAATAATGTCCGAAATTTTTTTTTTTCATAATAAATTATATTAAATTAGCTTTAATTTAAGATATATATAAAAGTGTCAGACTTTCCGGAACACTTTCAAAATTTAAGTTGAAAAAGTTCTACTTTCAATTTGCATTTTTTAGATTTGAACCCCCCTCGTATATAGGAAAATGGTTCGATTTAAAAAAAACAGCATGTCGAATGAAACATGTATATAAATACTACTTCTCATGAAAATATTGTATTGATCCATACAGTTTTCAAAAAGTTATAGCATTATAAAGTTAAAAATATAAAAAAGAATTTTTTTCAAAAAATCGTATTTTTTAAGAAATTATGGCAGTTTTAAGTAAAAAAAATTTCGAAAATTAGCGATTTTTAAATTTGTAATTTTTTTGGATAATTCCCCCATTTACGGGGAACGAAGGAATTTTTTTCAATTTTTAAGGGTAATGTCTTATACTAGATACGATTTGTGATCTTTTGACGTATCATTGAAAGAAATCGGTTCAGTGAGAGCTGAGAAAAGGTGGTAATTGATACAAAAAAAAACACATAGTAAAACCAATACGTTTTCAGCTTCGCATCGAAGCTAAAAAAAATCATTTCATTGGTCGAAGAGGCTTATGATGTTATGATAAAAAGTATAATCATCCACTTCGTCAGTACGATTACTCAATGTCAACTACTCAGCCTCAATCAGATTAGGAATCATCAACATGGAAAAGTCTTGAAACGATTCGAATAAGTAATTCTACACCTTTGACAGCACTTTAAAATGTTTCAAACATTTTTGAGTGTTGTATCACCATTCATGTAGCAAACGCAACGAATCATATTCTTAATTTATAATTTTAATTTTGTTAACTATATTCTCTAATTTTAAAGATTTAAGAAAACTTTTTGTAAAAAGTGTTAATTTTTTATCATCGATGAGAATTTCGATTCTGTTTCTCAGCTCTCACTGAACCGATTTCTTTCAATGATACGTCAAAAGATCACAAATTGTATCTAGTATAAGACATTACCCTTAAAAATTGAAGAATTTTCCATCGTTCCCCGCAAATGGGGGAAATATCCAAAAAAATTACAAATTTAAAAATCGGTAAATTTTGTCATTTTTTTCACTTTTTTTTCCTAAAAATTCCATAACTTTTTCAAAAATAAACAAATCAACATAATTTTTTTTTTATACTAAAATCTTATATATTTCCCTTTCATTTGATATCATTTTTTTGAAAATCTAACACTTAACCTGCTCATTGAGANTGATATCATTTTTTTTTGAAAATCTAACACTTATTCTGCTCACAGGGGGGATTTAAAATAGCAACTTTTTTACAAAAACTAACTTTTTCAACTTAATTTTTGAAAATGTTCCGGAAATACTGCGTCCTTTAAAAATATATCAAATTAAAGCTTATTTTATGTACTATAAAATGAAAAAAAAAAATTTGTCCCGACTAGGTAGTCTATCTTCTATGCAGGTTGCCGTAGTTAAAAAAACACTATTTTTGTGTTAAAATTTTCGATTTTCNGTCCCGACGACCTATCTTCTATGCGCAAATGGCTACCGTATTCAAAAATATGCTATTTTTCTATTAAAATTCTAGGTTTAGTATTTTATTTTATTTTAAAATATCTTATTAGGAGAATATATTGACTTTCATGAATATTATATAACTTAATTGACATAGAATAAAGTTCATAAGACATAAGAAATTAAACTTATTCAATTTTTTTAATTTTTTTAAAGTCGAAAAAGTAATTTTTAAATTTGAGTTTGCTTAAATAGCCAATTTTTTAGCTTCGATGAGAATTTTTTATATGTAAATACTAATTTTTAATAATATTAAAACTTAGAAGTGATAGAAAAAGTCTAATTGCAGATTTGAAAACATCGCGAAAAGTTGATTTATAATGGTATATTTTTTTTACTGATGAAGTTCCTTGTAGTACAGTGCATTTATTTATAGTAACAAACAGTTTTTATTAAAATTTATTGTATCAAGCCCAAAAAATTAAATTTTTATACACGTAAAAATAAAGCAAAATACAACTTCTTTATTATTTTTATAATTTCTCCATTTAAATTACAATATTAAATTATTGAATATCAATTTCATACTAAATTTAATAATTATAATTAGTATTTATTCATATGTTATATTTTCAAATCAAAGAACTACTAATTAGTATATAATCAAAGAAATAAGATTTGATGTCACTTTTGGAATAATCTACCAATTTCTCTAAATGAAACACTATCTACAGATTTGCATCGAAGCGTTTCTTATGATAGTGATTTTAATCACTGTCAAATATCATCTATACTTGTCCCATCTATGCCTCATCCACACTGTGCCTCGACCCCACTGTGCTACCGTTTTATTTTTAATTTATTTATGAATTTAATTATTTTATTATATATTTATTTCATTTTAATAGCCTATTATTGTATATAAACACAATATCGGACAGTTTTAAACGTATATTTATAAAAATTAATTTGAAAATAAGTCAATAATTAAAAGTGTATAAATGATAGATTTTAAATCAAGATAATGTATCTTTTTAATAAATCAATTAATATATTACAGACTTTTGAAATAATTAGTGGTATACTTTTCTTTAAAACTTTAAATAAGTATATCAAACTGTAGCGTGAATCTAAGTGTAATTGCTGATGGGAAATAGAATAAAAAAAGTTCGCCTGTTGTATTTTCATTAATAATTATTTCGTGTATTTTGTATATCTTTCCCTTCAAATATAATATTCCTATAGTTATAAGGCACGCTCCTTTTATAAGATTATTTAATCATTGTTATGTGATAACTCGCCATGAGGTTTGGTGTACATTAACTATTAGTTACAGTTTTAATTATTTTATAAGTTCTATAATTATTATTATATTTAATATTATTATAACATGGTCAATTTTATAACACATTTTCTTTTCTTTTGTATTTAGTAACAGCTTAATTTAATTATGGCTGTATTAATTAAGTAGACAGCTGATCTCTAGCGTTTTGCTATACTCACCCCCTTGCTCACCCAACACAACAAGTTGACGGCCTAAGCGTCAATTGCTCACAGTAAGTCGTATTGCTGATTAGTTTTACGAACGAATAAAGCGTTTGTTAAACGTATGTGATAAGTTGTTTATTTAGTCAGATCAGTATATATCAGTTATTATAAAATCATATTATATCAGTTGTTGTTCGGCGACGCTCCCTGCCTGAGGTCGTTGGACTGTGGTTTAATTAATTGAAATCATCGACTACGAGTGGTGTTTAACACGTTTAGGTCCAAACTGACTCAACTATAAACCTTTTTTTCTATAACACTACTGAGGGGTATGTCCATCCACTGTCAACCGTAACCCAAAATTACTCTTTAGATTACTACCAAAGGCGCGTCGTTTCGAAACATAGCTGTATTATAGAGAGACACTCCTTGTGCATTAACTTATAGTAATAAAAGTTCTATAATAACACAAAAGTAATTATTAAAGATATAATTAAACAATATGAAACGTACAAAACAAAGATACGCTTAAAGTTTAATATATCAGTACATAAATGAAAAGACTTATTGTCAAAAACGTATAACACGAAAAGAGATTACCCGCAGTGCTCCAAGGTGGTACTCTCTCTTTTTACAATTCATTCCATTTCGTCTTATATACTAAAATATTTTGTTTTTCTTTTCACGAATACAAAGTTAATATTACAACCATTTTCAAAAAATGTTTATAAATATTTACTTCCTGGTCTTAGTAACAAAAGATCAGGAAATTACAATTTAACCAATATACAAAAATGTTTTACTTCCATCTTTAAAAATAATAGACCATATTACAAGTACACAGTCTATCATCATTCCTCAATGGATAATATTGGCCAATTTCTTTTGTATACACAGCAAGCGCCTCCGCTTGTCTGTGCTATTGATCGGCCACAGTGCACCATATTTTTATTGTTTTGCATCTCCTGTTGTGTCCTGAGCTCTCTCTAACTATTCATACCTGTGCACTCTTTTCAGTGGTCGGTCTTGTCCGTCATTGAAGTAATTAATTCTTAAGCGACACCCTCGTGTTTATCTTATTTATTTTACATGTTTTCTATTTTGTTCATAATCGCTTTGTCGGCCATTTTAGTAATAAGGACACCCTCCAACGCCCCTAAGATTATTTCATGCAGAACGTTAATATATCTGTTTTGTTATTATTTTATAATTATTGTCATTTATGGGATGTGCGTTTAGCCGACATTCCCCTAAATGATCCATCTTACCCGCTCCTATAGTGATAGTGAGCAAGATAAAGGCAAGACGACAGTCTAGTGTGGTGCACAGTCCTACGGTCTAGCTGCCCTGTACGAAACCAAGTGTGTGTATAAAGATATACTAGATTGCAATGTTCGCAGCGTAACGTTTGTCAATGTTGCTAACTCGTTTCACCCGTTTACTCACACGAAATCCAGAGTCTTGCTAAGAGAAGTTTTCACTCAAAAGATATGTACAATGTCGCCACACGTGCTTATGGCTTGCTAAAATAAATATAAAAATATTTGACTCGAAACATTACAATCAATTCATACTTTACCAGTCTTGAAGGGCTACGGAAAATGATGGCAGGCTCAACCAACGCCATAATAAATTAAGTCTACATTATTATTACTTATTATACTGTAGTATCGGACACATGCGAAAAATACAATATTATAACAAAATAAATTGTAGCACACACAACTAGAAAAAAAACTACCGCCACTATTATAACTCAAAAAATAATAAAATAAAAAGAGGTAGTGAGGATAAAATTGAGAGTTACTTTTAATTCGGGATGTGATTCGATGGTAATAAAATAACATTAATATCGACTCTTATTGATTCTTAAAATCTTACCTAATAATTTTCCTTGATTCTTATAATATTTTAAATAACAATATTAATCAATAATTGAAAAATAAAATAACACAATTTTATTTAGTTCACAACTTTAACACGTAAAGACCTCGACAATGATGATCACGATGTTTGCGTAACGTTGTCCAGACCACCATAAGAACAGACCAAAATAAAAGTTTGTTGAGCCTTTCTATTAATTATTACTTTTTATCCTCGAAAAATCATCATTGTCTTATTCTTACAGTATAACATTGATAAGTAAGCATAAAATACAGAAATTATTACAGATGAATAGAGTATAATCACGTTGACATTTTATATATAACATCAACATAGATTTTTTTAAGATTAAGGTTGATACAATTCATTTAATTATTAAAATTAGATAAAAAAAAATTTATAGATTTCTTTTAAATTTTAAAAGTGACTATTAATTGATTTATGATTGAATCGTGTATATTATAATATTACTATAATATATAATATGGTTTAGAAATTATTATTACATTTTTAATTAATCTAAACGATACACTACTATTACGAAGTGAATCAAAACATTCCATTAGTAAGTGGCACAGCGGAAAGATATTTTATTTTTTGTGATTCATTGCTTTAAGTAAAGGAAAGCTTTCTTAAGACTAAAAGAAAAAGAAATGGCCGAGGAATCAAGACATCAAAAGTACTTTTATTATTATCTTTCTTAAAATAAAGTTACAGTAAAAATAGTTAAATTAAAAAACCAGGCGAATGAATGAAAGAAATAACTAAAGAAATTACATGGAGAGAAGTTGAGATAAGAATAGTGTAACAATTAATAGGAAAGATATTATGATGAGATAAATAATTAAATAAAATAGAACGATTAAATCTGTACATATAAATTAGTACATTTAACCATTGTTTATAAATCATTTTCAATAAAATATTCAAAATAATATATTCCATTGGTGTGGATAATAAATAGGCACGCCACGTTCTTTTAATTTTTTTAAATCAATTTTTGGTCTTATAAAAGACGAATTTGACCAGACAATACTCGTTTTGAAAATCCAGGAAAAGTAGTTATACTAACAATAGTTGTATTAGAAATTATTGATTGATTTAGTTGATTAATCTTCAGTATCATCATTATTAGTATTTTCAACTACCTTATAATTAGTCATTTCAATTAAATCATTATTAATAGTTTTAATTGCTTCATTATTGATATCTCTAATCGCCTCATTTATGAATTCTATATTATTATTGTCATCGTCATTAACATATTCTAATGTTACATGTATTCTAATACATATCCGATTTGTTCCAAAGAATCACGCCTTTCCGAAAAATTGTTATCCTCCTCATCAGAGAAAACTGATAAATCTAATTTGTTATTATTATTAAAAAAATTTTAAATGTCAATCTTGTGTAAAGGCATAGAATAAGCCTTTAAGAACACAGTATAAACTATAAGTATATGTGTACCGACCAATATAGTAGTTCACGTTGACATAATTTTACAGCTATATTTTTGTTGTTATATATATTTATTCAAAATTACTTTATACACGCGCATTTTACTAATTATGATCATTCTTGTCTTTAAATATGATTAAATTTTCAAAAAGAAAAATTTTTATTCTTCTAGACAAAACATAGTCTAATTTTTATAATTAAAGCTTTGAATATGTAAGCTAATAATTCAATTTATTTTTAATATACTTATTCCAGTTTATTACATTAGACAATTCGTTGCACATAACAGCTTATTTACATACAGCTCTCTATGTAAAATCATGGGCAAATTGATTAATAAATTACTTTGACAATCCCAGTCATTTAGGCCAAGCTGAATAACACCGAGAATGAATTTATAAGTATAACAGCGACAACAAATATTATTTTAAATTGACATCGTTGTCACCTGATCTACTTCTAAAAGTAACACTACAATATTATATTAAGATACCGCTGATTACTCGTTTTTGATAAGACCTAAAGTTTTTTCCGCTTAAATATATCTTATTGTGATAATAGAATAACATTTTCCACAAATTTGTTTGTAAACATGTTTACCTATGAAAAAAAAAATTCCCACATTTTTAGTTCCATTTATTTATTAGTCGTAACAAAAACGAAACAGTAAATTATTGAGTTTTCAAACATTTTTGAACTTTAAATTACTCAAAAGTATTAAATGTTAAGTGAAAAAATAAAATTTTATATAGAATTAATATGAATTTAGATTGTTTTAATATTTTAGTTACACATTTTCAGTAAAAATGGAACTTTTTATAATTTTTTTAAAGTTGCCTACTTATACGGTTGTGTATAGTTGAGTATCGTAAGGGTTAAATATTTTCATATTTTCAGGATATTCAATTATTACGTCTGAATAATTCTCCTCTTCATTTTTGATTTGTAATTCTAAAAAATGAATACTCAGGTTATTCCTAATAAATAAGATATTTGACATTCTGGTAGAGTAACTGACCAGTCAATGGATAATTAAGAGTTATTAGACTATAACTATAATAAGTTATTATGACTATCGAATAGTCTATACAAAATATACAAATGATATTTGTATATTCTATCAAATATATAGATGGATATTATGCGTATTTTATTCTTATATAAAAAATATAATATATATTTTATATTACTCTTATTTATTCCATATTGAATTTTTTAAAAAATTTAATTTAACATTTTTTTGTATAAAATTTATGTTAGAACAAATTAGAGTAACAAGAAAAAAATTCTATGCTATAATTTTTGGTATTTTCTTATAAATACTACAAATATTTTATTTTAAACTAATTCATAATGTTACTTATTTATAAATAACTAATATTATGAATAGTTTAAAAATATTTAAGGTCATTATAATTTAAATATATTTAAAGTATCCAAGAAAAAACCAAATAAAATAAAAAAAGTCCCCAAAACTACATTTTTTCTTGTTTTAAGTTTTGTTCTATCCCTGTAATTGTCTAATAAGCTTTATACATAAACAATTAGTTATTTTAGATAAAATTCCAATACATTTAATTGCACGGATATAACCTTTTTACAAAAATAACTCATCTAAATATTCAAAAAAATTAGTTTGATGACAAACAAATTTATTTGACAACCAGCATTGATTCGTGATAAAATAAATTATTATTCAGTTATCAAGTTAATTACCCAGTTTTCATTCTATAGACATATCACAATCAAAAATTTATATAAAATATTGAGAATTAAAATGATTGGGTAAAGTAGATCACTTCGGATTACATTGTGACAAAACATTTTACAATAATGAACTATATATTTACACCAATTTAATTATTTAAAGTTAAAGTTGCCTGAAAATCGTTATTTTAGAAATTTGAACTTTTTTATATTTGTATTACTAAAAAAAGTTTGATGTAAAAAATTGTCATTAAAAATAATTGTATTTCATTGTTAATTTTAATTTAGAAAATGTTATTTTTTTGAAAAAAACCTTTCTCATAATTACTTAAAAAATAAACTAAAAAATCCTATTTTTAATTGTTGAAAATGTTTAAAGACCTGATAATGAAAAAGTGATGAAATTTTCAAGTCTTAAGTATAAATACATAGGTTTCAGTGACATTTTTATGAAATACTGGCATTTTGCAATTTAAAAATTTTGAGAGGTTATAAATCTATTTTTACTTAAACATTTTTTTTGGAAATTTTTTTTTTTAGTTACTAGAAATCTCATGTATGAAATTTCAAAAAAAATAAAAATAGCTGCGCGACCAAACTGTATGATTTGATACAGATTGACCCTTCTTATTGTAATACATTATCATAATTGAACTAAAGCCCTGTGGTATATTAAGAAATATTATATTCTACTCTAATTCTTTCCTGCGTATCTATATCATTGTTTTTTTATATTAAATTAATAGAAGAATATTTTGTGATATCTCAGAATATTAACAAGCTGTATAGCTAACAAAAATATAGCTAAAAATGTTTAAAAGAGTTGAATACTTTATTGAATACTTTACCTTGTTGTTTAATCAATTCCATTACATCTACATCATTGGTAAGTTTTATCGAGTTTATTATTTGATTTCGTTTGACATCTAAATATTTAAAAAAAAAATAGATTATAAATAAGTTTAATATTATTTAAATAATTACACCTTGCTTGATATTGTTAGGAGGAATAGATAAAAATGTCCGATTTGTGTTCGAATCAAATACAAATCCAAGTTCAACAAATTTTTTCTGGTATGTTGTTAGTACTAAACTACTAATTTTATCACTAAGAAAAATGAAAAATTCTTGATATTTTCCTTGAGTTTTTAACGTGTTAAATTCGTTTTTCCATAAATGCCACTCTGAATTCAATTCTAAAGGTTTTAGTTGACAAAATTCCATATCCGCTTTAAGTTCATTACGCCTCGCAAATACAAATTTCTTAATGGTCGATAATGCAGCATCAATCAAATTCATATTTATTGATAAAGGAATTAATTTTATTATAGTTTCATTTTGCTGTAAATTTTTTATAACTTCGTTTAAAATAACATTTTTTTTTTTGTTGTGGTTGCCCCATGGCCTATTATGAAATATTTCAATAGCATTTAAAGCTTCTTTCATAAGTATTGCCATCGGAACAATTTCTTCTGTTTTTTCTATAAGTTTAACTGTACATTTGTTCGCACTTATTAAAGAGTTCTTAGAATTTAATAGCATAGTACAATGTTCTTGAAAATTGTTTATTGCAAAGAACATAGTATTTAAATCATTAGCATATGAACAACCAAGTATTATTGTTGCATTACGTATATATTTATTACAACTATTATATGTTACAGAATTATTTATCACATGGTCAAATTTATACTCATTATTCATATACTTGATTAGTTCCACATCATTTATATTTTTCCATCCGCAATGGTGTAGAAAATAGTTTATTGCATCGACGGATTTTCTTTTATTACTTATTCCTTCAGTATACAAAAAAACAATAAATATAAAAAAGTACACTTGAATATTTAGTATTACAGCCATTTTAATTTTTGAAAACTGCATTAAATACGAATCTAGTAGAACAAAATCTGTTTGATTAATATACTGATATTTATAAATTATTTTTTATATACTAAAACAAAAGAACAAGCACAGTATGTTGACTGTGTACATAGACAAAATGTATAACAATTGTTAGTAAGTTGCAATTGATACCCAAATTTTTATCCTCAGACTATTGACTCTGACTATAGGTAACATAAATATTTAAAATGTATATAACACGGGAAAAATTACTAGTGATAAATATTTTAACTATCAAATAATATTCGACAATTTTAAAAAACTTTTCAAATATTTTTTATAAATATTCGAATAAAACTATGCAATAGCTTTAAAAATGTTCTAATAGTTTTATCGAATTATACTCTATAAACTATTTCAAAGTTCTTTTGCATAGTGTTATTAAGTATAAATAATTTTAATAAGAAGATAAATGTTGAATGACAAAAGTTAAATACCAAGACTGGGCATGATAATGATGTAAATAACTCGTTAAAATTAAGTTAAATGAATAAGATGCCTTAATAGTTAATGCTATGAATTAAAAGTTTAAGTTAATCCATTATTTTTTTTTAGTAAATTAAGCTAAAAGTTAAGTTGAAAAAATATTATTAAAATATCAAATCAAATTATAAATGTTAGGAATAATAATTTTGCAAAATATCATAAGCGCAGTAGATGGTAAAATTATTTTAGAGTGAGTATATATACAGTATGGGACAGATCTAACTGACAACTCATATAACTTATGATCTACATAACATTTTATACTTTTGTTTTTTAATCAATTTTTACAATATAGAACTATATTTAAAATATGTTTTATGTTATTTTTTGCAAATACAAAAAATATTTTAAAAACTATTTTTTTTATTAAATTTTTTTTTTAAGATTTGAAGATAGCCATTTTATAGATAAGTTTTAAAGAAAAATTCTGATACCAAAAACCCTTATTTTAATTCAGTAGTTACGTTTATACAGCATTTGTGAAATTTTGATTTTTTTACAATTTTTCTATGGTATCAAATGTTAGTCCATATTATGTAAAGTACAGAAGTAAACACTTATTACGTTATTTACTAATAACAGTACGCAATTTCTTTCCCATGAAAATTATTAACATTTGAATCATTTCGCGTACTGTTATTAGTAAATAACGTAAGAAGTGTTTACTTGTTTACTTACTAATTGAAAAAAATTCCCTCGTTCCCTGTAAATGGGGCAAGTCCCCAAAAAATTACTATTTTTAAAATCGGTAAAATTCGACATTTTTTAAAACTATTTTCTCTTTAAACTGCCATAACTTTTTAAAAAAATGACCAAAAATGATTACAGAAATACCTTACGTATTTCCCTTTCATTTGATATAATTTTTTTAAAAATCTGACCCTTTACCTACCCACAGGGAATATTCAAATAAGCAATTTTTGGACAAAAAGTTTACTTTTTCAACTTAACGTTTTAAAATATTCCGGAAATACTGCGTCCTTTAAGCATATATTAAATTACGGCTTATGATACGTACTATAAACTAAAAAAAAAAAACTGTACCGACGACTTATCGTCTACATGCAAATTGCTGCCGTAGTTAAAAACATACTATTTTTATATTAAAATTTTCGATTTAATGTTTTATACTATACTTCATTGCTTATAAGCAATGAAGGACAGAATAACTTAATTTAGGGGCGCTAAAAAAGAACTAAATACACTATTACTAATCATACCTAAGCTCTACAAGGCTTTTTTATATATTTCATTAATATGAACATTTAATGACTTTTATTATGACACGTTATCAATACTATATTGATTATATTTTAATTCAACAATAAATTAAAACTGTACGCTTGCAACTGATAACTTGACTATTAAAATAAAAACATGCGACTACGCAATCTTATAAACATTATTTAAACCGAGTTGATCTAGTTATCATCGTCGTCCACTCTAGTACATCATGATTCGTATGTCAAATCATCAATCTCAGTGCTCAGATGTTACTGTCCGATTTTCTACCTGACGTCCAGAGCTCGTATATTTCTCTTCGACACCTTTACCTTCATAAACCCAAGTACTTGTGCTTGCACTTCCATATACCTTGCTATCTCTAGTTCTTATCTAGCTGTTGTTATAGAGTCTATAACAACAGCTCTTCGTAACCCTCGATAGCAGCGAAGTGTCAGCCGAGCATAATACTTTTGATAAGTTAACATCAATAGTGTAATTTTAAACTAAAGGATTTATCTGACGAGTATATTATATAAGCTTTATTTCAAGATATATGTTAGAGATATGTGTTAGTATTTCCGAAACACATTCAAAAATTAAGTTGAAAAAGTGTTTTTTTCTATATGCATTTTTAAGTTTTGAACTCCCCCTGTACAAAGGGCAATAGTCCGATTTAAAAAAAAAGTATGTCGCATAAAAGAAGAATATAAAAAGTACTTATCTTAAAAAAATTATAATGATCCATACATTTTTCAAAAAGTTATAGCATTTTCAAGTTAAAAATGTAAAATATAAAATCGAGAATTTTAACACAATAATAGCATTCGGTAGCTATTTTCACCGTGAAGAAAAAATAAAGTCCAAAATTTTTTTTTTGCATAATAAAGTACATTACATTAGCTTCAATTTAAGATATATATAAAAGTCTCAGACTTTCCGGAACATTTTCAAAAGTTAATTTTTTGTGAAAATGTTGTCATTTTAAATCCCCCCTGTGGGCAGGTAAAGGGTCAGATTTATAAAAAAAAAATACCAAATAAAAGGTAAAGATAGCATGCATCTATAAAAAAAATTATATTTATTTGGTTATTTGTAAAGAAGTTATGGCAGTTTTAAGTAAAAAAAATTGAAATAAATGTCAGAAATTAACGATTCTTAAATTTGTAATTTTTTTAGATATTTCCCCCATTTACGGTGAACGAGTGATACGTTTTCAATTTTTTCAACATTTGAACATGAAAATTCACAAATACAATTTTATAATATTATTACGCAGTGTCGCATTTAGAGGGGCCACAGGGGCACGTTCCCCTTCCTATTTACTGAGACATGCAAATATTTTATCAAGTAATGTAATTATGTATAATATCATTAGAAAAAGTTATTTTTTGGTATTCGATAATATAACATGGGTTTATAAAATTTTAGTTGTTTAATATATATTGTTAATGTGTATAGTTGTTTTGCGGAGCAAATTTGACGCTCGCAGTCTTCCTGTTAATGTTATCATCTATTTTTGATTTGTTTATTGCGTTAAGATACACACTAATTTAAAAAGAAATATTTTTATTAATAAAAATGAATTCAAAACAAATAACAGATTTTTATTTTTAAATCTAAAATATGTGTTAACAAGTTATGAGCAAAAAAACAGTTATATGGTACCTTATTCATGAATATTTATTGTGTACCCTCCCCATTATAAATTTTTTAATACGCCACTGTTATTACGTGTTTACATTTATAATTATAAATGCAAGGTTATTATAAATTATAGTTTATAATACCTTTATACATATTTCGATAAATACAAATGGCAGCATACAATGATAAGATTAAGCTCCTACGATTTTTCTTAACTTCTGTGAATGAATCTGAAATTTTTACTCAAATTCATTAAAGATTCCTCTATAGCATCAAATACGTTCATATGTTTAAATTTTTACCCTCTCGACAGGATTTCATAATAATAGACAGACATTCCATTAAATATTTTATAGAGCAAGAAAATTCATTTACCACAATATATATAGTGATAAATGAAACTTTCTTATAATATATATTATAATAAATATAGTTTAAAAAAACTAAAAAAACACGCTTTTAAAGCACATCGAACTAAAAAGTTAAAAATAATTTTTAAAATAAGTTTAAAATAATTATGAACAAAAAATACTAGTATTATTGTGATAAAAGCGTCGGGCGCTCAATATACGAAAAATATGGCACAAAGCACCCACGCTTTTATCACAATAATATTAGTATTTTTTGTTCATAATTATTTTAAACTTATTTTAAAAATTATTTTTAACTTTTTAGTTCGATGTGCTTTAAAAGCGTGTTTTTTTAGTTTTTTTAAACTATATTTATTTTTCACTTTTTAGTTTTATGTTATGATAGTAGTTACTATCAATATCATGGTTGTAACGGGTAACGGGAAATCAGGGTTCGATTCTGGGGAGTCTGAGAAACGGCTACCACATCCAAAGAAAACAGCAGGCGCGTAAATTACTCACTCCCGGAACGTGGAGATAGTGACGAAAAATGACGATACGGAAATCATCCCTCGTAATCGGAATGAATACTTTATATCTCTTAATTAAAATAAAGCGTGTTAATAAATAAATTTTAATAGTAATTAATATATATATATATATACAAGTAAAGCGACTTAAGTACGTAAACGTATCATGCACTAGGTATAACCGTATTTTGTGGGCGGGCGGTTCGGACTAACGTTATACCTGAGGTATAAACGGCGGTAGGAATATATAAATATATATACGTAAGACGCATTAGACGCGGGCGTATAACTGACCAATAGGTCAGTCAAAATAAAAATTTGTTTATATATATATATAATATTGATGACAAGCACGCGTGTACGGGTACGATAACCAAAAATAAATTTATACAGGAATAGTATTGCCGGCGTATTGATGAGCGTGGGGTGGGGTGGGGTGAATGCGTTATGACAGTCTAGTCTAGACGACGGAATATGCGATAACGCGTGGCGTTTGGAGAGTTACAAACATACATACATACATACATACATACATACATACAGGTGAAACTAATATAAGCGTGTTAAAAATACAAATAAAATTTCGATTTAGAACCCATAATTATATTTCTATGTTAGAGCATTTAATAGAGTATATGTTTTGTCATAGATGTATCATGGTGAAATCATACTAGATAATTAAAAATTTTAATCTAACTAGATAATGACCCGATTTTTACATTAATATCCTTTTTAATGCTTAAATAATAATTTTTTTTAAGAATTATTAGAATTCGAGCAACTTTTGTTTGATAAAATACAATATATCAATCATTTATCTCAAATCCACGCATGTTAAAAATAACATATAAAAGTTATTTTATTTTGTAAGGACCACCTTTGATATGGTTCTTTATATAATGTATACTTGGATACATTGATATATAATTTAATTATGGATATTTGACTTGTATTAAAAAAAAACATATTAAAAGAATTAAAGGTAAATCAATTACCTAAAAACAATACATTTTAAATGTGCTTGAAAATAATTCCAAAGTTTAATGTCATAAAGCTATATTGTTCAATATTATAATTTAAATAAAAAAGCAGTGATTTTTTAGTACAAAAGAAGTTTTAAGATGGAATGAATTAAGCATAAGTATAAAAAAAAAGGATTAATATACAGGATCTCATTTAAAATAATAGTAACAAAAATTGTATTTTAAAGCTATCTAAAACATGTCTAGTTTTCGTCAACTTCTTGTTCCTGTTCTTCGTCAAATTCAGCTTCCTCATCAGCGGTAGCTTCTTGATATTGTTGGTATTCAGATACAAGATCATTCATGTTTGATTCAGCTTCAGTGAATTCCATTTCATCCATACCTTCACCAGTATACCAATGCAAGAAAGCTTTACGCCTGAACATAGCAGTGAATTGTTCGCTGATTCTCTTAAATAATTCTTGAATGGCAGTTGAATTACCAATAAAAGTAGCAGACATTTTCAAACCTCTTGGAGGAATGTCACAGACAGCTGTTTTAACATTGTTAGGGATCCATTCAACGAAGTAGCTTGAGTTCTTATTTTGAATGTTTAACATTTGTTCGTCAACTTCTTTCATGGACATACGACCTCTGAAAACTGCTGCAACGGTCAAGTAACGTCCATGTCGTGGGTCACAAGCTGCCATCATATTCTTGGCATCAAACATTTGTTGGGTAAGTTCAGGTACAGTCAATGCTCTATATTGTTGACTGCCACGTGAGGTAAGAGGAGCAAATCCAGGCATGAAGAAATGTAATCTAGGGAAAGGAACCATATTGACAGCAAGTTTACGGAGATCAGCATTAAGCTGTCCAGGAAATCTGAGACAAGTTGTTACCCCTGACATGGTCAAAGAAACCAAATGGTTTAAGTCTCCATAGGTTGGAGTGGTAAGTTTAAGAGTACGGAAACATATATCATATAAAGCTTCATTGTCAATACAATAAGTTTCATCAGTGTTTTCAACTAATTGATGAACAGATAAAGTGGCATTATAAGGTTCTACAACAGTATCTGACACTTTAGGTGATGGAACAACTGAATATGTATTCATTATTCTATCAGGATATTCTTCACGAATTTTTGAGATTAATAAAGTTCCCATACCGGATCCAGTACCTCCACCCAATGAATGCGTTAATTGAAAACCTTGAAGGCAGTCACAACTTTCAGCTTCTTTCCTGAAATAAAAAAAAAATGTCAACATTTAATTAAAAAGTAATCATTTAATATGAAATTATTTGTAAATTATTATGTAAAAATTGGTCACAAATGTCAAATCATAACTTAATACACACAAAATGTAGGGGAATATTTATAAACAACAATACTTAAAATTAGATAGTTTTAAAAAATTAAGATGTTTTTTTTATAAAAGAACGATAGTATGAATGAGGATATGAGATATAGAATAAAGTGTGGGTATACAAGTGGAGCGACAAAAGAAGATATAATAAATGAATATGTGAGAGGAAGCATAGGAGTAGTATCAATTATCAATAAGATGAGAGAAAATACAATTAGATGGTTTGGTAATATTATGAGTAATATTACTTCCATTCATGACTATCCTATAACTAAAATTTTATCTCATTTACAACTTTTTGGGGATTACAATAGCTATTGGTGAATAATGACTGTAAGTGATAGGTAATAGATTTTATTATCTTTATGCAAAATATAAATTTTGAAAATTGGATTTTAAACTACAATAAATGATTCTCAATACTCAACACACAGAATATTAGAAAATTATTTTTTTTATATCCAAAATTATCCATAGAAATTATAAAATATAACTTAAATGAAGAGGGAAAAGACATTGAACATGTAATAATTTTATCATAATTTCAAACAATAAGCCTATAGTACCATTTAATTAATATTAAAAGATTATTCAATAAAGCAATATTATCCCAATCTGAATATTGATTTTTTTGTTTAATTTATAACTTTAAATATCATTACTTTTTACTCATCACAAAATCGAGCCCTAAAATCTATGCAGAGGTACATGCTACCGACTAAGATAGGTAGACAGTCTCCCTAAATTAAACTGATGAAAAAAATACTATCAATTAGATATAAACAAATAAAAGATACAAAATAACAAATATTAGTATCTTTCCACTCGTAATGAACTTAGAATTACTATTCTGGAGTCAATTAACTTAAATAATTAAAATTTTAAGTTTTTAAAGTTATTAATAAAAATTATAGTAATTTACCTGACAACATCAAGTACTGAATCTACAAGTTCAGCACCTTCAGTGTAATGTCCTTTAGCCCAGTTGTTACCTGCCCCAGATTGACCAAATACAAAGTTATCTGGTCTGAAGATCTGACCAAAAGGTCCAGATCGCACTGAATCCATGGTGCCTGGTTCCAAATCAACTAATATAGCACGGGGAACATATTTTCCACCTAATTAAAATACTAATATTAATATGACAATTCTAGAACAATAAAACTCAATAATATCATGACAATAATATTATCAGAATTATTAAATTATGACTAAACACTACTACCTGATGCTTCATTGTAGTATACATTAATACGTTCAAGTTGAAGATCAGAGTCTCCATGGTAAGCTCCAGTTGGGTCAATACCATGTTCATCAGAGATGATTTCCCAGAACTATTAATATATAAATATTAAAATTAGTAAAATATTATTGATCAAGATAACTTAGATAAATAGATTATAAAATACAATTCTATCTTTTTTAATTAATAATTCTCAACTGTTGTGTTAAAAATTCCGAGTAAATATATGATAAATATATGCTACAATAATTTTATTAACGAAAAATAGTTTCAATGATATATAATTTTGAAACTATAATTATTTTAAAAATAATATATAACTATAAATATTTTATGTTTTCAGATTTGTACCAAGAAAAATCAAATCGAATTTATTTATTTAATAAATAAATTTCATTACCAAACTAGGATAAAAAATTTAATTATAAGTAAAATTATGATGACAATAATGAACTCCAAGAAAAGATGGGGTCATATTCTTTGTTTCAGTAAACATAATTTTGGCGGAAACGTTAGGAAAAATTATATACAATTAACACCTTGGCATCATTGAAAAAAAAATTAGAGATTAATAAAAAGAAAAAAAGGCTGTAGTCTAATAATTTATTTGAATGTAAAACAGTTTTCGGATTAGAATTCCATCAGAAGGCCGGCCGGCCGGCCGCCATATTCGGAACAGTTAACATACACTATAACTTAAATTCTATACCAAAAAATTAATTAAGTTACCTTAGCTCCAATCTGGTTTCCGCATTGACCAGCTTGAATGTGCACAATTTCCCTCATGATTATAAATTAATTTTAATTAAAATTTAAAAATTGAAAAATAATTTGTGAGACTGATTATTTCAAGTACAGCACGACAACCGTCTCAAACGCTACAGAGAAATAAAATGGCCGCAACTCGGTTTTTGTCAAATTTGTGGCGTTGGCGATCGACTAGCAACAAATCGGTCGACGCCCTTGAAACAATTTCATTGGTCTAACGGTAACAGTGTCACCAACTTAAATTGATAAAATAACGATTTTTATATGATTTCCGTTTGTTTGGTTTATTTGATTTTGAATTTAAATAATTCAATCGTTATTTGCTTTCCAATTGCCGTTTTGGGCGTCGGCCAAACTGTTACCGTCTCAACAAGACGCGACACGTTATGCTATACGAAGGAATCATCATAAAATAAAAATGTATTCAAAATTAACGTCTTTGTTATAGATAAATATCTTGAGAAAAAAATTTATTCCTAGTTCAGAAATTTTTCGAAGGAAGAAAAATATTTGAAAAAAAAATATAAAAAATAGATTCTTATATGAATCTAATAATATTTTTTATAATTGAAATTTTATTTCTTTGTCTTTATTAACTAAAGCTCTGTCAACCATAAGAAAACTTTAAAAAATTTTACTAATTACTAAAAAATACTAAAGTTTTTACTGAATAAAATACATTTTTAATAACATCCAATGGTTAAAGTAAGGATGGTCGAAGGGAAACGAAGTTTCCCTTCTTATTTGTAGTACAATCTAGCATCCTCTTTAAGTCGAACCCCAAAATGCCGGGGAGACGCTTTAAATTTAAGCACTGAAAAGTGGAGAGCGTTAATATAAGAAATTTATTCAAATGGTCAAAATTTCAACAATTTTCTAAAAAAAAAATAAATTTTGTGATACGACCGTGGTAATCTGTTATTTTGTAATTTATTTGTTATAGGTTATTCAAAAGTTTAATTGATTTTTTGGTGTATCTTAAAAAACCATGTAATTAATTTGTACTAAATATTATTTAGAAATAAAAATGTATGGTGATATAAATATTTGTTATATTAAGAGAACCTACCACGATTGTCGATATATTTTTAGTTTATTGAATACCTTATAAATTATAATACTATATTTGTCATTACATATTTTTATATCGAATAAGGCAGTTACTCACTTTTCAGAATATCGAAAATAAAATTTTCTCCTTGATTACACACTATATGTTTATTAATTTTCTTAGTAGTTTAATTCAATCCAAACTGTCGTTATTTTGATGAAAGTTATTATAAGAAGAGTAAAACCTAAACTAAAATACTTCATAATCTTAAAATGGATTTTTTTGAGTTACTACCTTATTCGTTGCGCATATCAATATGTAAATGCCTACCTAAATTGAATACTGTTAATATTTTTTTCTCGACTTGTATCTGTTATAGTATAATATTTAAACTTTAAAAATACTGTTTGGCATTTATTTTTATAATAAACTAAAATTTTGATACTGACTTTATGATGTTCATTAATTATTTGTAATTGATTTTTAATGATATAATAAAAATTATGGATAGGTCCTAATTTATTCCTTAATTGAGATAATTTTTTTTTTACTAAAGAAGTATATTTTCTTATAATAATAAATATCATTTTTAGTCTTTACGGGGAGACAATTCGGTGTGCCTAGGGAACACTCACATTTTTTATGGTCCCCCTTCCTAGTTTTTCCGACTTTAACTAGTAATAACATCCATTTAAAAACTCTGTTAATTTTTAAAAACGAAATATTTATTTGAAAAATATTTTAATTACTGAAAAACTTATTGTTCAAAGCTAAGTATTTTTATTTAAACATGTAATGCAATTATAATAATAATAATAAAAATTAAAGTAATAATTAATTACGTAAATAACTATTAAAATAATTAATATCTATTTTAGATTTTTAGAAAAATATTACATTATTTTTTATTCAATAAAAAAAGTTATAATAATAATTCATGACATATTTAAATTAATATTACTTTTATTATGAAGAGATTACAAGGGTATAATTAAAATAAAATAATTTAAGTCGATACAGTGTATTAATTATATTGCAGAAAACTTTTTATCCATTCAAATTCGAAGTCAATGTACGATTGTATTATAACAGTGTTTTATTGACCTTTGATTCATCATTTTTTTAAACCACTGTTAAAAACCATAAAACTGTTGATAAATATCGAATCAAGTTTACAGATTTGAATACAACAATTTATCATACATATTTAAACATAAAATACGTAAGCGAAACTACTATTCGAGTCGGTAGGCAAAACATTTTCGTTGATTTTCGAGTAATACAAAGGAACTTTTTTAAATTTTTCTATAAAAATTACTTAACATTCAAGAGGAGTTATTAAGTGATTTGACGTATAAAAAAAATGATCTAATTACAACAATTTTTGATATAATTATATGCAAATTTCTAATGCATAGGACTTCCGTAAAAATAATTTTAATTAAAAATCATAGTAAAATGGAATTTAAAAGTAATGTAGCCGCTTCGTTTGATTTTCTTGTGCCAAAGTTTTTATTATTCTACCGTTGGACATGAACTATTTCCTTTTTACATTTAAGAATTAGACTTAATTGTGCTGACTTCCTTACTCATTCAAACTAATGCCTAATTCACTTTGTGGATAAAATTCACTCAACGACTAAAACACACGCTAAAAGTATATGGTCAGAAATTCTACAATTCCCTTTGTTTTCATTGCACAATAATACAAATCATGTATTATCGTACAGCAACTGCATATGGTAGATTTGGATTTACTTTGAATTCTTATTTATTTCCATAGTAACATGTTTCAATAATATATATATAAATCAATCAGATTAAAATGATAAATCAATAATTGATTTATAATAGATCAATTATTGATCTTATAAATAAATTATTGTTATAATAATTAATAGTAATTTAAGAACATTTATACACTTATAATATTTTTTTGAAAGTGGTGCAAATCATTCGCTTAAAAATCGTTTGTCGTTTTAATATCTTAACATTTTTGAACTTCAATGTGAAGCTCAGAAAGTATTAATTTTACTATGATGTCTTTTTTTTTATTTATTTATTTTTTTGTGTCTGTGAACGATCAATCTCAGCTCTTGCTGGACCGATTTTGAAGAACAATATATCAAAAGATCACAAATCGTATCTAGTCGAAGACATTACCCTAAAAATTGAAAAAAATTCCCTTGTTCCCTATTAATGGGAAAATCTCCAAAAAAATTACAAATTTAAAAATCACTAATTTTCGACATTTTTTCAATTTTTTTTACTTAAAACTGCCATAACTTTTTTTAAAAATAACTGAATCAATATAATTTTTTTTTATAGATACTTTAGGTATTTACATATTATTTGATATATTTTTGTGAACATTTGACCCTTTACCAGTCCACAGGAATAGTTTCAAAATGACAACTTTTTTAACTTAACTTTTGAAAATGTTATGGAAAGACTGACACTTTTATATATACCTAAAATTAAAGCTTATGTAATAAGTTTCTAACCTGCGTATAGCAAGAAATTTTTTACATTTTTTTCTTAATTCTTTTTAAGTAAGAATAAATGTTCAACTCCTTTGATTTTTATCTCATTTAAATACAATAACTTTAATAAAGATCAAGGATCCGATCACTTTAGTCGCCCCTCGTGAGAAGAAATTTCTTATTCATATTAAAATTATTTTACTATATTTTAGGTTTTAGCTTCGATGCACATTTCAGAAGGTATTTTTTTGTGATTATCATTCATTTTCTCTGCTCTAACTTGACCTACTTTTTTCAACAATACGTTAAATGATAACAATTCGTATCTAGTTGAAGATATTACCCTCAAAAATTGTCAAAGTCCAGTGTATAAAACTTATAATTTTGTTAACTGCTATAACTTTATCAAAAATGACCAAATCAATATATTATAATATATTATATTAATAATAATATATTTTTTATACAGATGCATGATGTCTTTACCTATCATTTGGTATATTTTTTTTATAAATCTGACCCTTTACCTACTCACAGAGGGGATTCAAAATTAAAACTTTTTTTTTAGTTAAAGTAAATCATTAAAATTAATTCAGTTCTGTATATTTCAATTGTAGAATCTTATAAAATACCAAAAGTTACTTAGAAATTATTACTATGATTTCTATTTAAGTGTTCTATTATGATAGAAATGCAAAAAAATAATGAGCTTTTCTGATAAATATACTGTAAATAGTAATTATAAAATTTGCTGACTGCATATTAATCTTAACAATACAATTTTTTTAATTCTCATAATATAATATTGTAATTTTTGTAATAATATAAATGACTATACATAAACAAACATACAGGTACATATGTTAGTGAGTGCAATTTAAATATGATGTTAGGTCTAATTTAATTTTTCCTCATCTAAAAAAAATATTTTTAATTTTCTTTTTTTATAAAAATATTTATAAAATTAATAATTGTGGGGTTAATTCCTCAAATTACACCATGATTTTAATTACGTTACAATGTTCTTATATTTTTACGAGAAATTAGGTTTAAATATGTTTAAACTAAAACAGTGGATGCAAGTTTTTTCTTTCAAATAAAGTGTATAAAAAAAGTGATATTATTTCTATTAGCAGAGGCACTCCTCTTCCACCAAATGAAGTTTACGGAAATTGAACAATTATTTAAAACTGCAAGTAGGAGTTAAACCACCGCCTATATAATTTAAAAAACAAGTACAAAATGTCGTAGGCGAAGTCCTTGATATATTATTGTAGATTGACTTATATACCACAGTTATTGCTATTCTAAAATAAATACATGGACATAATTTATTAAATCATTGATAATTATTTTCTAATAATAAGTATTACAATGGAATATACTAAATCCACTTTTGAGTTAGTTCTGGAGTCAAAAGGGTAGAATCAAAGTTTTAAGGTGCTTAGTGTTATATATTTTGTATATATGACACAGAAAAAAACACAACTGTTTTTCATAATATAAAAATTGAATTAAATACACTTATAATAAAACTATACACTTAATCAATATTTTAACATTATCCGCTGCTCTTAAACAAAAGAAAATTAAAAAAAAAATTAT